GCCTTGTAGTGTCTTTTTGGCGATTCCACAGTCACCTATTAGTCGCCAAACCAGTCGCCAAATAGTGACATATTAGTAGCAGAACCATCGCCACTTTAGCGACTCATACGCGACGCACATGCGACTTCAAATAGTTGTCGCAGAATAGTCGCTATTTAGCGACTATTATGCTACAATTTATTTTAGCGACGCAGTGTTCGGCGACAACGTTTATTAGTCGCTAATTAGTGGTTATTATGTGTTTAGCGACTCTTTAGTTACGTTTCTTGTAGTCGCTAAATCCATGTTTTCTTGTAGTGGGAGGTCCTTCTTGGAGAATTCCTTTGGGGAGAAGAGACAGCGTACTAGCATTTATTATTGATCTTGCTAATGCATATCTTCCAGCTCCATTCTTCACACTTCCACAACTTAAAGCTAGTTTTAGAAACGTTGGCATCAACCGATCGATCTCCTGATTTCATTGTGCTCTCTGGTAATTAATAATAAGAAGTTAAACACCATTTGATATATATAGTTGTAACTAGCAAGTTTATTATTGATCATGTGATCTTTCTTTTGTTAAGGGGACACATTTGGTCAAAAAAACAGTGGCCATTATTGTGGATAGATTATACAACTTCAGCAACACATGTTTACCGGACCCTACTCTCAACACTACTTACCTCCAAACTCTCCGTAAGTGGATTGTGTTCCCATAATGGCAATCTTAGTGGCTTGGAAGATTTTGATCTACACACGCTCACGATTTTTGACAATACTATTTGAACCTTGGTGAGCGAAAGAGTCTTATCCAGAGTGACCAAGAATTGTTTACTAGCCTCAGTGCCACAAACACAATCCAAAGATGACGATGAGTATGTTTTAGTTCTAGGTTTTATCATAGCAGCCATCTCCGAATTTCAAATGTTCGACTCTATATATTGATTATGCCCTTCTAAACGGAACACCTGCCCACTCTAACAATTATATTATGTCTCTGTCTACCAAAAAACTAGAAGTGTTTCAAAATATAGGTATGGATCATACAAAAAATTCACACTCTTCTTTACTTCTATGCGATGTCAAAACCATCCAACAACTATTCCATCCCCATAAAATCCATTTAATTTGCATATATTTCCTCCCCATGCCCCTACCTTTTTTAGTTTCTAGATGGTCAGAATATGTTGTTATCATGGAGAAAGTCAGCCACTTGTTCATTATGAGAATTTCTACAGTGGTTGTTTGAGGCTAAACAAATATTAAATATTTTCCTGCTATCAAATAAGTATATCTTTGCGTTAGTCTGAATGTTTGTATTACTAGGATTATTATATGCATGAGTGGTATTTGGTGAGTTATTCAAGTTTCATTTTTTTTGTGTTTAAATTTCTAGTTTTTTACTTGCCTTCTTATTTATTTCATCAGACTAGTGAAACAAAAATCAAACTTTTTGTTGTTGTTGTGTGATGCGCTTTGCTCCACTATTTCTTTCATTGGAAATAAGTTCTTATATTTTTTTCATTGAGATGTTTTTTCTTAATAATCAACTTTGATTATATTAATATTGATTTCTTGACTACAACTAGGACAATAGTTGAACATGAAACAATTCATGTTAATGCTTTTTTGGAAATGAAAAATCTTGGAAGTGGAAGTTCTTCGAATAGTCAAAACCAAAGTGGTGGATCCTATTCGCTTTATCCGGTTATTGACAAAATGTGAGCCAATTGTATGACAACCTTTTTTCCATCTCTATTCTTGGAACGTCGACCAATGGTATGTCCACTTCTTTTTTCCAACATTAAAATCTGAAATATCATGGTAGATCGCAAATAGAAATTATATCGCACATGGATATAAAGATATTTCAAACGATTCGCAACAGAACATGTTAAAAGCGTGTGCATCTTTCAATATTGTTTTAATTAAAACATGTATATGTTTATGTAGTTTTTATTATTTTTCTTCCAATTTCTAATATGTGTATCAAATATTATACGTGACTTACTCTCTTATTTGTTTTCTTACAGCTATCAAATTTTTCATAAAACAATTGCTCAAAGCATTCATTTATAATAAATATTTTAGTGACATACTAAGGGTGCAAATAGTTGATACATTTGAAGAGTTTCAAAAAGATAAATATAGTTTTTAACATTTAACAATAAATTTAATTTAATCCTAATTTTACTCAACAATAAATTTAATTTCATCCCAATAGATAGAAAGTAGCTTATTTAATTGAAAATTGTTTATCTTCTTATTAAAAGATGAATGAGATAAATGATGAAAAGATAAATTTTCATCTCATTTTTTACTAATTTATCGTCGTACATCCAATCAACGCATTTATTTTATTAACAATCATTTGCAGCTTAAGTGATGTAAGTAATCTAAAAGAAGTTTCAAAGCATTTTATTTTTTTATTCATTTCTTATGCATAAAATCTTTTCACTGAAGAGAGTTTTTATCTAATATGAAATAAAATTATGCGTGACTTGTTAATTCATAGTCAACATCGAAATTAAAAAAAAAACTAAAATTTTTATATAAAAATAATTATCTTTAAGTATTCAATTCTCATAAATCTCTTTGTGACTTACTAAGGGTCCAAATAATTGATACATATTAGGAGGTAAAAGAGATAATCTAGTTGAAAACTATATTCATTGAGAAATCCATAATTTATAATAAATTTATTTTCATCCCAATTTTAATCCACATAATCGATAGAAAAAACTTATTTTATTTAACAACTGTCCACCAACTAAATAAGAGATGAATGATGATATTTTTTTTATTCATCTCATTTTTATTATTCAACTTATTTTTGTTTATTGAACCATTATTCATCCTATAATCTCAAGTATTTTATTAAATAACTATTTGTAGCTTAAGTGAAGTAATTAATCCAACAAAAAATTTAAAGCATTTTCTTGTTTATTCATTCTTATCCATATCTTTATATATATTTTTTCATCTAATATATGTATTAAACTATTGCTTATAGAAGGGGAGGAGATTAGTAAATTTTCATGTTGATTTTAAAGGAAAAATATATTTTGAATATAATACTCTTCTATTTTGTCTTCATGAATTTCTCGCTCATTTAATCAAACTAGTAAGTAATTTGTTGGCTTGTTAGATTAATTAATAAATAAAATAATTAGTAAGCAAGCAATAAAAACTCAACAAAAGTCATAAGTTCACAACATAAAAAAAAAATACTTACTAGTTTGATTAATTGACCGAGAGAATCATATCTTTGACTTTGAAAATCAAGATGCAAATTTTCTAATATCCTCCATTTCTATAGAGAAAAAGAAAAGAAAAAATATCAATTAGTTTATACATAAGTTAGATAAATAATAATAATAATAAATTAGACAAAACATCACCTTGTCAAGTGAATACTAAAGACGATGTTTATCATAATTCATGAAAAGTGTATCGTGAAGATTCATCCACTTCAAAGTTTCAGAGTCCGAACAAGGTCTTGGTAAATCAACATGGGATCCTTGAATTTAAATCCATTGAGATATCCGAGCTTTTCTAACTCCACCTCTCTGGAATTTTGGATTGTAGTGATGACACCACTTAGATTAGGATTTTTGACTATTATCCCAAAACTATGATTTTAATAGTAATACATTTTAAGAGTTTCAAAAAAAATAAATCTAGTTCTTAACTATTAACAATAAATTTAATTTAATCCTAATTTTACTCAACAATAAATTTAATTTCATCCCAATAGATAGAAAATAGCTTATTTAGTTGAAAATTGCTCATCTTCTTATTAAAAGATGAATGAGATAAATGATGAAAAAATATTTTTTCATCTCATTTTTATTCATTTTATCATCGTACATCTAATTAACTTATTTATTTTATTAACAATCATTTGCAAATTAAGTGATGTAAGTAATCTAAAAGAAGTTTCAAAGCATTTTGTTTTTTATTCATTTCTTATCCATCATATCTTTTCACGGAAGAGACTTTTTATTTAATATGGTATAAAAATTAAATTTTTATTTAATATGGTATAAAAATCATACGTGATTTACTTGTTAATTCATAGTCAACATCGAAATGAAAAAAAAAAACTAAAATTTTATACAAAAATAATTATCACTAAGTATTCAATTCGCATAAATCTCTTTGTGACTTACTAAGAGTCCAAATAGTTGATACATATTAGGAGGTAAATGAGATTATCTAGTTGAAACTACATTCATTGAGAAATCTACAATTTCTAATAAATTTATTTTCATCCCAATTTTAATCCACATAATCGATAAAAAAGCTTGTTTTAGTTAACAACTGTTCATCAACTAACTAAGAGATGAACGATGAAATGTTATTTATTCATCTCATTTTTATTATTCAACTTATTTTTGTTCATTGAACCCTTATTCATCCTATCAACTTAAGTATTTTATTAAATAACCATTTGTAGCTTGAGTTAGTTAACCCAAAAAACAATTAAAGCATTTTCTTGTTTATTCATTTTTATCCATATCTTTATATATATATATATATATTTTCATCTAATATATGTATTAAACTATTGCATATTTTTCTCCTATCGAATGGGAGGAGATTAGTAAATTTCATGTTGATTTTAAAGGAAAAATATATTTTGAATACTATACTCTTCTATTTTGTCTTCATGAATCTCTCGTTCATTTAATTAAAACTAGTAAATAATTTTTTGGCTTGTTAGTTTAATTGATAAATAAAAGAATTAGTAAGCAAGCAATCAAAATCCAACTAAAATCATTAATTCACAACATAAAAAAAAATTATTTACTAGTTTAATTAATTGACCGAGAGAGTCATGAGAACAATATGGAATAGTATAGTATTCAATATATCTTTTTCTTTGAAAATCAAGATGAAAATTTTCTAAACTCCTCTATTTCTATGATAAAAAGGAAAGAAAAAGTATGAATTAGTTTATATATAAATTAGATAAATAATAATAATAAATTAGACAAAACATTACCTTGTCAAGTGAATCAAATGTGATGTTTATCATAATTCATGAAAAGTGTATCTTGAAGATTCATCCACTTCAAAGTGTCAGAGTCCGAACACAAATCTAGAATTCAAATGCGATCTTTCTAGATTTGTGTTCGGACTCTGACACTTTGAAGTGGATGAATCTTCAAGATACACTTTTCCTGAATTATGATAAACATCGCATTTGATTCACTTGACAAGGTAATGTTTTGTCTAATTTATTATTATTATTTATCTAATTTATATATAAACTAATTCATACTTTTTCTTTCCTTTTTATCCATAGAAATAGAGGAGTTTAGAAAATATTCATCTTGATTTTCAAAGTAAAAGTTATGTTGAATACTATACTATTCCATATTATTCTCATGACTCTCTCGGTCAATTAATTAAACTAGTAAGTAATTTTTTTTAATGTTGTGAACTTATGATTTTAGTTGAATTTTAATTGCTTGCTTACTAATTCTTTTATTTGTCAATTAATCAAACAAGCTAAAAAAATTACTTACTAGATTGATTAAATGAGCGAGAGATTCATGAATACAAAATGGAAGAGTATAGTATTCAAAATATATTTTTCCTTGAAAATCAACATGCAAATTTACTAATCTCCTCCCCTTCTATAGGAGAAAAATATACAATAGTTTAATACATATATTAGATGAAAATATATATATATATATATATATATATATATATATATATATATATATATATAAAGATATGGATAAAAATGAATAAACAAGAAAATGCTTTAATTGTTTTTTGGGTTAATTACCTCAAGCTACAAATGGTTATTTAATAAAATACTTAAGTTGATAGGATGAATAAAGGTTCAATGAACAAAAATAAGTTGAATAATAAAAATGAGATGAATAAATAACATTTCATCGTTCATCTCTTAGTTAGTTGATGAACAGTTGTTAACTAAAACAAGCTTTTTTATCGATTATGTGGATTAAAATTGGGATGAAAATAAATTTATTATAAATTGTAGATTTCTCAATGAATATAGTTTCAACTAGATTTATCTCTTTTAACCTCCTAACATGAATCAACTATTTGGACCCATATTAGTAAGTCACAATGAGATTTATGAGAATTGAATACTTTGAGATTATTATTTTTGTATAGAAATTTTTTTTTTTTCCATTTCGATGTTGACTATGAATTAACAAGTAAGTCACACATAATTTTTATACCATATTAGATAAGAAGTCTCTTCAGTTAAAATATCTGATATGCATAAGAAATGAATAAAAAACAAAATGTTTTGAAACTTCTCTTAGATTACTTATATCACTAAGCTGTAAATGATTGTTAATAAAATAAATGAGTTGATTGGATGTACGATGATAAAATGAATAAAAATACGATGAATATATAAATAATTTTCATCATTTATCTCATTCATCTTTTAATAAGAATATGAACCATTTTCAACTAAATAAGCTATTTTCTATTTATTGGGATGAAATTAAATTTATTGTTGAGTAAAATTGGGATTAAATTAAATTTATTGTTAATAGGTGAAAACAATATTTATCTTTTTGAAACTCTTAAAATGTATAAGCCATTTGTCTTTGTATTCAGATGTTTCGGTTGATTGCGGTTCTCTAGTGGGCGCAAGTGGCATTTTGCGTTCAATCGATGTTGAACGCTTTTGGGATCAACGAATTTGTGCCCAACCTTTACGAGAATGCATTAGAGAATGAAGATGTTTTTTTCAGTCGTCACCTGCCATCATCTGCACATGAGTCAGTGTGTTGGCGTGATGATCTCATCAGGTGTTTCCACTTAATAACTCTCTTGCATAATGTTTCAGGATGGTATTAGTTTGACTGTTTGAGTATTGTCGGTTTTTGACTTGAGGCAATGTTTGTTACACTGAAAAACTTTCATATGCTCTTTGTCATATTTCCGTAGAGCCAAAAAAATCGAATTGACTGGAGTAACCCGAGAGGAGAGATCAAGATAGTTCGAGATATACTAGAACGGAGGTCGGGTTAGAGGTGATTTTGGCATGAGCAAGCATTTTCTAAAGAATGGGTTTTGAAACTTCAATGCTCAACTTGTGCAGAGTAACCGACGAACTTGAAACCAACTTAAAATAAGCCTTATTCTTAGATCTCCAAGAAGTTGTTCATGTTAAGTTTGTTTCAGTAACATATGCATTGGCAGTTTAGTATTTGGTTTAAGTAGTGTGCCGGCTGAGATGGGAGGGCGGACGGTGCGACGGTCAAGGGTCCAATCCCGTGTTCTAATAATTAAGGGGCCTATTTTTTAAAATATTTTTACAAAAGTATTAAAAAATAGATTACAACATAAAAATAAAATTTAGAAGGGCCCATAAATTTTTTTATTTATTGTTTCTAGTATTAATAATTAATATTTTTAATAAAAATAACATACAAATTTTTTTTACATCAAAAGAACATTACAAAAAAGAATTTCTAAGGGCCCAAATTTTTTTTTTTTGCCCTAAAACCCACAAAAATGTTGAGCCGACCCTGTTCAAGGAAACTGTTTTCTCTTTGCAGCTTCACAGAAAGTTACTACAGCATCAACACTCTTTCTAACTTGTTCATTTCGTTTTATGTTGCTTCGACGGGTTTGTTGTCGGGAACAATAGTTCTCTAATTTGTCCCTCTGCGTTTGATTTTGCCAGCACGAGTTTTGATTGGCATGAATTGTTTCTGTTAGTGCACAGTTTCTTAGAATCATAGATCAGGAACAAGATTTTAGAATATCAAAGTAGAGACCTGATTTACCCTTACTCAAAAGTCCCTGGATAGCAAGGCCAGCAGACGGCTGATCCATCCAATCTACGTGATCATTTGAAGCAACCTAAATTTGACAAATACATGAAATTTGTCATGATCTTTCGTATCATTTTCATATAATATCACAACTCAGTTTTCAGAATTCTAGGCTAGAAGTTAACCTCAGTCATTCTCTTTGCAAGAAACATGGCATGACAACTCCTCATTGTTTCCAAATTTGCCCAGTCTAGCTCCAAGCATTCATCTGAATCAGAATCATCATCATCATCCTCGGTGAATAGGCAGGTTCCTAGTGAAGCAGTCTAACACATGATTGGTTTAAGGAAACCGAGTCAAAGCCTCTATATAAAGGAGAGTCTTGGAACATCAACTATCCTGTGTTTTATCTATGGACAACCAAATTAAGTCGGTCTGACAAATAATTAGGGATCAACATCAAATTAGTAAAGATAGCCCATTGGAAAAAAGGGAACACGAGTTTCGTTGGATAAATACTAGCCTAGGGGTTCGTCGGTTGTCACGAGGGTTTCTCCGTTTCCTTGTATCCCAAGCTTTAGACCTCCACAGGTCGTTCGTTGTTATCCGCTTATTTTCGACGTCACGGCGGATCTTGGGGCGGCTGAGATACTGTGTTTCTTATTTCTCTCATAAACCTTTTCTTATAAATAGGTTAAAGCTCGTCTGTGAACTTCATCCAAGAGTTAGAGAGATTTAGGGTTTATCGGTTTAATCGAGGGAAGAGAAGAAATTTTCTTTGGGAGCTTTTGCTCTGTTACGTTATTGTTCTTTGTTTTCTTTTATCTTAAATAAAGGTTTTGTGTTTTCGAATTGGTTCTTAACTCTATCATTGTATATAAAAAGAACAATGTCAATCACTGAGCAGCCTCCAGATCTGGAGACCATAGGATGGATCGAGAAAATGGCATATTTGGTTGCACTAAAGGGGCCGGAGTTTGAGAAGGAGATGATGATCGTTAATAGGACAGATACAAGTTTCAGCTTTTTGAGCAGCTCAGACCCTAATCACGCTTTGTACCAGCAAAAGATTACTGACTACCGTGCTCAGATTCTTGATGGATTTCAGTATTTCCCACCTGATACTCTTGAGTCTCCTCCCTTAGAGGAGGCTCAGGATTGTGCTTTTCCATTTCCTGTAGTGATCTCACGCGAGGAGAAGCAGCTTTGTATTATTAAGCTCATTGCGCAGTTTGTGGCGCGGTATGGGAAGCTTTTTCATGAGGATTTGAAGCGTGTAGGTGTTATGAGCCCTATGTTTGACTTTATTAAGCCAACTAATAGCAACTTCGGTCTTTATAATGCCCTCGTTACTTCGTATTCACGAGTATTAAAACCTTCCCTTGGTTCTCCCTTCTTTCTTGATCGTATTTTCGACCATCTTCAATTGGAGAAGCTGGAGGAGGGAAGTGAGACGGCTATGATTGATTTGTTTGATTTTGTGGGTGGTGTTGACTTTTTTGCTCACATGGACGATGCTCACTATCCTGCTATCCTACCACCACCTCAACCCTTTTCAATGATAACGCACTTGTCTGATTTGCAAGCTGATGATTCAGCTATTCATGAGTGTGTAGGCGATGCAGAAACCGGTCTTGGGCCTCCTACTATAAGGATCACACCCAAGGAGTTCGGTGTTATTAAGCTCACAGCGCTGTTTGTGGCGCGGTATCGGATGCCTTTTCGTCGGGCTTTGATGATGAGAGTGGCTATGAACCCTCTGTTTGAGTTTATGTTCTTTCGCCCGTCTTCTCTGAAGAAAAGAGTACTGTTTACGGACTACCCTTCTCTGACGAAGAGAGTACTGTTTACGGACCCTTCGTTTGGGTTTGTGGAGCCAACCGAGATCAGGTTCAATATTTTCAATTTGCTTGTTGATGTGTATTCCAGAGTATTATTCCCTTGCAAAAAGCTTAAGAAGAGTGATGCTTGTACGAGGGCCGTTGTTGATTTTTTTCTCAAACTCCTTCACTTGGAGAGGCTGGAGGAGGGAGTGGCGGCTGCTGTGATCGATTTGCATGCTTTTGTGGGTGGTGTTGACCGTTTTGCTCACATTGATGATGAAGATTATTCTGCTTCCATGCCACCACCTGAACGCCTTTCAGTGATGATGAACCGGGTAACACTATCTGAGCCTGATATGCTTTTGCAGCTTCCATTGGGATCTCAGCTTGCTAGTGTTCGTAAGCAATACAAATGTGTAGGTGATATCGATTCTTTAAGGGCTCCTACTCTAAGAAGCGTAACATTTAGAGTCCCTGGAAAGGGGATCACACTCAAGGAGCTTGGTATTATTAAGCTCACAGCGCAGTTTGTGGTGCGGTATGGGTATGATTTTTGGTGTGGCTTAACGGATAGAGTGTCTACGAACTCATTTTTTCAGTTCTTGA